GACGAACTTTGGGTCTTTTTGGGAACAATCGCCGAAACATTATTTTGGATTTTCAACATGCTGGTCAAAACTCTATGGATTCTGGTTTTAACTACGTTTGACAACATTGGATGCCCTACATCGTTTTCGAGAAGTACCTCATGTGGCTCCTTTACTAATCTAACGATCTAGGCTGGTTTGCACGTTTCAGGATTCAGTTCCTGCCGGATCATATAATGATCCATTCTTGTCTAGTGTGTGTGTGTGAAAGCTTCTGTGTGTAAAAGCGTCTGTGTGTAAACGCTTCTGTGTGTAAAAGCGTCTGTGTGTGTAAATGCGTCTGTGTGTAAAAGTGCCTGTGTGTAAAAGTGTCTGTATGTAAAAGTGTTTGCGTGTAAAAGTGTTTGCGTGTAAAAGTGTCTGCGTGTAAAAGTGTCTGTGTGTAAAGCCTATGTGTGTAAAAGTGTCTAGTGTCCGTGTGTAAAACCTTCTGTGTGTAAAAGCTTCTGTGTGTAAAAGCGTCTGTGTGTAAAAGCGTCTGTGTGTAAAAGCTTCTGTGTGTAAAAGCGTCTGTGTGTAAAAGGGTTTGTGTGTAAAAGCGTTTGTGTGTCAAAGTCTCTGTGTGTGAAAAAAATACGGAGGATACGATGCAAACTAGTGTCTTGTATGTACTTGTAATATATTGTCTTGATACTACATGTCTCATCTGCCTACAATACATCTTTAATATATTGTCTTGTAATATAGTTTCTCATGACTAACAACAGAAGACCCTGCTCCTCTACGCTCTCGGGCCATCCGTCGTCTAGTTTTGAAGAACCCGGACTCGGTCCGGGAAAGATTTTTTGGCTTATGGATGTGCAAACACAAGCTTGAACCAACTCCTTTTTGCACTTGCCACAACCTCAATCAAAACACGCTCTCATCTTCAAAGCTGCTACCCGTCAAACAAAGAAGCACAACATTTATTTTTTGGTTTATGGCTGTGCAAACGCAAGCTTGAACAAATCCCCTTTTGCACTTGCCAAAACCCCAATCCAAACACACTTTCATCTTCACAGCTGCTACCCACAAACAAAGAATGTGCCTCCACGCCCCCAGAAGCAGAATTGCACAAACTGCGTGTTTCGCACAGTGCACGTACAGTGCACGCACAGTGCACGCTACAGTGCACGCCACAGTGCACGGCCACAAAACGCTGTAAATACCACGTATTGTCCAAACAATGATGAGAAAACAAAAAAAATAAAGCAATATTTTTTGCATTTTTTTGAAAATTGACCAAAAAACGCTAATCCCATGGTATTTACAACGGTTTGTGGCCGTGCACTGTGGCGTGCACTGTAGCGTGCACTGTGCGAAACACGCAGTTTGTGCAATTCTGCTTCTGGGGGCGTGGAGGCACATTCTTTGTTTGTGGGTAGCAGCTGTGAAGATGAAAGTGTGCTTGGATTGGGGTTTTGGCAAGTGCAAAAAGGAATTTGTTCAAGTTTGCGTTTGCACAGCCATAAACCAAAAAAATAAATTGTGTGCTTCTTTGTTTTCTGGGTAGCAGCTTTGAAGATGAGAGTGTGTTTGGATTGAGGTTGTGGCAAGAGCAAAAAGGAGTTTGTTCAAGCTTGTGTTTGCACATCCATAAGCCAATTTCTTTTTCCCGGACTGAGTCCGGGTTCTTCAATAAAACAACCATCCTGTCAAACTCATTGCGAAAAAACTTGCGTGCCCCCTTTCCCCCAATTCAATGTTGTTACAGCTTTGCTTGGAAAGGCCTTCAAAAAAAAGCTATTTCGGTGCGGATCGCTGATTTTTTGAAGAACCCGGGGAAGAGTTTTGGTTTATGGATCTGCAAACACAAGCTTGAACAAATTCCCTTTTGCATTTGCCAACGCCTCAATCCAAACACACTCTCATCTCCAAAGCTGCTACCCACCAAACAAAGAAGCAACATTGCAGCATTTGCTCCGCATGTGGGCCAAAATTGGAGATCAGAAGCTGTGTGTCTTGCATGGTGCACCTAATGTAGAATCTGCCTCCATGCCTCCAGAAGCAGAATTGCAGCTGTAACAACATTGAATTGGGGGAAAGGGGGCACGCAAGTTTTTTCGCAATGAGTTTGACAGGATGGTTGTTTTATTGAAGAACCCGGACTCAGTCCGGGAAAAAGAAATTGGCTTATGGATGTGCAAACACAAGCTTGAACAAACTCCTTTTTGCTCTTGCCACAACCTCAATCCAAACACACTCTCATCTTCAAAGCTGCTACCCAGAAAACAAAGAAGCACACAATTTATTTTTTTGGTTTATGGCTGTGCAAACGCAAACTTGAACAAATTCCTTTTTGCACTTGCCAAAACCCCAATCCAAGCACACTTTCATCTTCACAGCTGCTACCCACAAACAAAGAATGTGCCTCCACGCCCCCAGAAGCAGAATTGCACAAACTGCGTGTTTCGCACAGTGCACGCTACAGTGCACGCCACAGTGCACGGCCACAAACCGTTGTAAATACCATGGGATTAGCGTTTTTTGGTCAATTTTCAAAAAAATGCAAAAAATATTGCTTTATTTTTTTTGTTTTCTCATCATTGTTTGGACAACACGTGGTATTTACAGCGTTTTGTGGCCGTGCACTGTGGCGTGCACTGTAGCGTGCACTGTACGTGCATGTGCAAAACGCGATGTTTTTTGCCCCCTTATATTTTCATCAGCAGAACGCTGCAATTCTGCTTCTGGAGGCATGGAGGCAGATTCTACATTAGGTGCACCATGCAAGACACACAGCTTCTGATCTCCAATTTTGGCCCACACGCGGAGCAAACAAAGAAGCACAAAATTTATTTCCCCACCTGCCAGGTGAGGGTTGTTAGATTTTATCAGAGCTGTTCTCCTCCTCCTCCGCCTCCACCTCCGCCTCCTCCGCCGCCTCCTCCTCGCAGTCCAGATCCCAGTGGGCACAGCCGGACCTCCACCGCGAGCTCCAGATCCCAGTGGGCACTGCCGGACCTCAACCGCGAGTTGCAGATCGCAGTGGGCACTGCCGGACTTCAACCGCGACTTCCAGGTCGCAGTGGGCACTGCCGGACCTCCACCGCGAGCTCCAGATCCCAGTGGGCACTGCCGGACCTCAACCGCGAGCTGCAGATCCCAGTGGGCACTGCCGGACCTCAACCGCGACTTCCAGATCGCAGTGGGCACTGCCGGACCTCAACCGCGACTTCCAGATTGCAGTGGGCACTGCCGGACCTCAACGGGAAGAATGTCAGAAAAGATGTCAGATAGAATGTCAGAAGATATGCCAGATAGAATGCCAGAAAGAATGTCAGAAAGAATGTCAGAAGATATGCCAGACAGAATGTCAGAAGATATGCCAGATAGAATGCCAGAAGGTATGCCAAATAGAATGCCAGATAAAATGTCGGATAGAATGCCACAACGTATGCCAGATAGAATCCCAGAAGATTTGCCAGATAATATGCCAGAAGATATGCCAGATAGAATGCCAGAAAGAATGCCAGAAGATTTGCCAGATAGAAATGCCAGAAAATATGCCAGAAGATATGCCAGATAGATATGCCAGAAGATATGCCAGATAGAATGCCAGATAGAATGCCAGAAGATACGTCAGAATATATGCCAGATAGAATGCCAGAAGATTTGCCAGATAGAATGCAAGAAAATATGCCAGAAGATATGCCAGATAGATATGCCAGAAGATATGCCAGATAGAATGCCAGATAGAATGCCAGAAGATATGTCAGAATATATGCCAGATAGAATGCCAGATAGAATGCCAGAAGATATGTCAGATAGAATGCCAGAAGATATGCCAGATAGAACGCCAGAAGATTTGCCAGATAGAATGCCAGAAGATATGCCAGAAGATATGTCAGAACATATGCCAGAAGATATGCCAGATAGAATGCCAAATAGAATGTCAAAAGATATGTCAGATAGAATGCCAGAAGATTTGCCAGTAAGAACATGTATAAATGTCATGGTGGGGATCACACGAAGTAAAGTATTTTTTTTTGACGCTTCTCTCCGACACGGCGCCTGAAGAGATAAAATCTAGCAACATACCCTGAAGTAAAGATATAGTGATAGATCCGCGCAGCAAAACTGTTCGGTGAGCACTTCCTCAGAGATTAATCATCTAGGAACATTGATGAAAAAGGGCAAGCTGCTTGAACCAACGTGAAAAGATTTTCAAGCTACATGAAAGTCATCAGCAAACAAGTACGACAGGTATTCTTTCACTTGGCGCATGCTACATGCAGAAAGTCTCAGAAAATGCACTGGAACACTCTGTTTCTTCCCCGGTTCCTCAATCAAAATGTCCATGTGTGTAGGACATGTGCCCCAACATGCATCTTGTATTTGGCGACCTGTCCGGAGGTTGAAGAAGAGGTGTGTGTGTGATTCGCGCGAAGGGCTGGTCAATGTGCCTGTGCCTGAAAAAGGATCAATTTAATGGTCAGACTTGCTGACTATGTAGCTGCAGGTGTTTCTTCTTTTGGGTCTCACGCAACTTTCAGTGTCAATCCCGCCCGATCCAACCACAAATGGCAAGGTCATGTTTTTTTAAATCTGTCTTGTGATTTTACGGGTAAGGTGTGCAGCTGACGCAGGATGAAATGCAGGACTCCCTTGTGCAGTTGAAGTGGCAAGTTCATCCACACACCTGGAACCCTGCAGTTGTGTTTGGCCAGCGGGTAAGGACAGGAATGTTTTGCCTGAAAAGCAGGCAACCAGCAATGGAGCGTAAGAGAAACCAAAGTTTTTTTTCTGAGGTGAACAGCAATGCGTTTATTTTCTCCATTGATTGCCTTGGCCTAATTTTTCATGGTGCGTTGTAACACATGCTGCCTTGTTTGCTGATTTTCGCTTTGTTGTGGCAAAAAAATCAATGTAGACATTTCCTTGGATCTGCGCAATTTTGGAGCAAACTTGCAGCACAACGAACATCATGCAAAAACGGTGCATTTGGGCTCAACAGCGTTTTTTGCCCAATGCCAATTGTTCGATGTCCATGTCCACTGCCCATAGCAATTCTGGCGCAAACATCACTGTTCAGGAGCCTCACACTCTACGCTATTTGAACCTTGCTGTGTCGACTGATACGGTTGAGGTGGGAGAACCTTTTCATGTTTCGTTCAGAGTGAGGCGGAAAGATGTGAACCAATTTGGTCACATGGGGGATCTGAGCATTTGTATTGTGGTCCTTGATCTTCATCTTGCAGTGGAAAGGCTTCAACTGGATCCTAAAAAAGTTGTCTACAGCAGGGCCGTATCAGGAGATTATTTCTGCAGTAGACTTCGGAGGTTTCCTTTTACCACAGGGCGGCGTAAGATCCTGGTCGACGATGTGGTCCCAAAGAAAGAGGGAACGCGTGTCCCAATAATTGCAGCCCACTTGAATTCATTTTTTGTTGGTTTATTTAGTTTTCAGGTCAGCTCTAGAGTTTTGTTTTTCCTTTGCCTACTCAACCAGAAAGGTATGTTTGGCAATCCAGGGCAACATTCTAGGCTATGATCAATGGGTCTTCATGGATTCAATCGAAGTCACCGTGCGCTGTCGCAAATTTAGGCCACCTGGGAGCGAGAAAGCAAAGAAAAAAATCCGAGGTGATCGCAGGGTATCAGATGCTTCAGATTTGCCGATCAAACAGGATGACAGTTGTGTGGGTCCGGTGCGTCCTAAGCTGAAGTCCGACATGCAGACTCAAAGCCAGCAGACAGTTTCAGGGCCAGACCATCCGACATGTCCAGGCAGCGAGAGAGCAAAGAAACAAATCCGAGGTGATCGCAGGGTATCAGATGCTTCAGATTTGCCGATCAAACAGGATGACAGTTGTGTGGGTCCGGTGCGTCCTAAGCTGAAGTCCGACATGCAGACTCAAAGCCAGCAGACAGTTTCAGGGCCAGACCATCCGACATGTCCAGGCAGCGAGAGAGCAAAGAAACAAATCCGAGGTGATCGCAGGGTATCAGATGCTTCAGATTTGCCGATCAAACAGGATGACAGTTGTGTGGGTCCGGTGCGTCCTAAGCTGAAGTCCGACATGCAGACTCAAAGCCAGCAGACAGTTTCAGGGCCAGACCATCCGACATGTCCAGGCAGCGAGAGAGCAAAGAAACAAATCCGAGGTGATCGCAGGGTATCAGATGCTTCAGATTTGCCGATCAAACAGGATGACAATTTTGTGGGTCCGGTGCGTCCTAAGCTGAAGTCCGACATGCAGACTCAAAGCCAGCAGACAGTTTCAGGGCCAGACCATCCGACATGTCCAGGCAGCGAGAGAGCAAAGAAACAAATCCGAGGTGATCGCAGGGTATCAGATGCTTCAGATTTGCCGATCAAACAGGATGACAGTTGTGTGGGTCCGGTGCGTCCTAAGCTGAAGTCCGACATGCAGACTCAAAGCCAGCAGACAGTTTCAGGGCCAGACCATCCGACATGTCCAGGCAGCGAGAGAGCAAAGAAACAAATCCGAGGTGATCGCAGGGTATCAGATGCTTCAGATTTGCCGATCAAACAGGATGACAGTTGTGTGGGTCCTGTGCCTCCTAAGCTGAAGTTCGACATGCAGACTCAAAGCCAGCAGACAATTTCATTGCCAGACCATCCGACACGTCCAGACCCACCTGAGGAGGCATGGTTGTTTGGGGCTAGTACCGGTTTAGGCGTACTCGCAAAGGTTATCGCGGTGTGTCGCCATATAAGTTTAGATTGAGCTATAGAAAATATATAGAGAAAGTTGCCCTGTGCTGCGCATCGTTCTACGATGAGATTTGTAGGGCCTCTAGGGTCTTGTTCAACCTTTGGCGGTCTCTAATAATTGGCTCCAGATCATTCATGGAAGGCTGTCTGTGTGGACAACGTTCGATCCTTGCCTCACCATTGATACAATGCCATAACATGCTGCATCAGTTGAGAGTTGAGAAACATTATATAGTTGAAACGTAAGTCTCCCCCCATCGTATTGTGTTTAAATGTTTGAAATCCCTCACATCCTGTCTTTATAACTCTTCTTGCCATGGATGCCATGGAAAAACGGAAGACCCCTGTTACACTGTTGTTGCAAGGCTGAGGACGAGGACGACGCCCAGGAGGAAGAGGAAGAGGAAGAGGAAGATGAGGCAGGGTTCCACATCCCAAGATGGCCGCGGATGGTTGACATAGTGGCGCAGTGACATAATGTAGAGGAGGCCCCCACTTTTAAGGGGGTGGTTTCCGGTAAAGATAATTAGGTTGGTCATATTTCCAGTCGGGGCATTTCGGGTTGACAACATTTAAATTTAATGCAGTGACCCAAATCCTTGTTGACTATACAATTGAATATGGGACTACACTGCCCGATTTAGCAGTGGCACAAATTGCCTATTATGGCAATCCCTATTAATCAACCAGTCAAAGGGAATGACAAAGGATTTCGATGGATTTTGAACACTGCTTGATTCCATCCTTCCTGTGCTGTTGTTGCAATACCATCCATTTCACAGGTGATAAGCAGTGGCTGAAACCCACAACCCTCAAGTCAAGCAAGATGGCAACAGAAAATCCAGAACATCAACAGCAAACATATGGAAAATAAAGTGTATATAGATGCATATGGGACAGTTATGGACAATTTTTCTTGCCAGATTAGGTGACTGGAGAAATTGTCAGTTTGATCCTTCTTCGTGCAGGATTTGGGATTTTGAGCCTCAACACGTTTTAACCTGTTTTAACCATTTTTCAAGGCACAGAAACTTGAAGACTGGGATATGAGCTATGGAAGTTGGATGCGACCCAAAGAAACATGGGCTGCCACCTTCAAAAAATGCGGATAGACAGGTACTTGTATAAAGAGAAACAGAAATGCCGGTTAGATTCGCAGGATTGTTGGTTTGTATCCTATCCTTTCTGTTTCAAAACAATTTTCAAAAAGCCAATGTTTGAATATGTTTGATGGTTTAAATCTATGAGAATCCTGTCTTTGTTATTCTTTGTTATTGTTTCTTTCATAGTTGAAATTTAGTCTTTGGAGATTATTGACACCAGCCTGGGTGCTTGCCAGGAGAAGGGATCCGAAGCCGTGCCTTGGTATTGCCTGGGGGGCAGGGAGAGAGCCGCTGGCGGATTTTTGGGGATTTGCATGGTCCCTAAAATGGACGATTGAAGAATGAAACACAGGGTTTACATTTACAAGTATTTTTGCCATGGATGCATTGGATGCCATGGATGCCATGGATGCCATGGAAAACCGGAAGACACCTGTTACACTGTTGTTGCGAGGATGAGGAAGACGAGGCAGGTTCCACATGCCAAGATGGCCGCGGATGGTTGACATAGTGGCGTAGTGACATAATGTAGAGGAGTCCCCAACTTTGAAGGGGGTGGTTTAGGATAAAGATAACTAGATTGGTCATATTTCCAGTAGGGGCACTTGGAGTATTTCGAGTTGACAACATTGAAAGCAGTGACCAACACCCATTTCGACTAATTAGATTAGGGGACTATACTGCCATCTCCCCATAGAGTATTGGGGATTAGATACTTTGACAAATTATGGGAACCCACATCAACAGGAGTTTGTTGATCTTTGCTCACTTGATCCTTCTTAGCGACCATTCTGTATGGAAAAGACTTTTGGTTCAAGCAGCGAAAAGGGGAGTTTGCAGAATAAACACAAGTTTTTCATTCTTAAGATATCTTAAGATAATAGAATATAATGTTGGATCCTGATTAGTGTGTGGGGTCGGTATTGTGTCAAATTTTCCAAAATAATTTAAGATCTGTGGAAATGATTGGGGGGGTCGGTATTGTGTCATTTTTTTTGAGGGGGGTGGTATTTTTCAGTTATATATATATATAAATATATTATTTTTTTAATTGTTTTGAATTATTGCTTATTCTTTTTAATTTATTTCATTTTTTTAATGTACTTATTTTTTATTTAAAAAAAATATTTCATTGTTTTAAATATTTTGTTTTTTTCATGAGCAATATTGTTCCTAAATAATATGTTTGTTGTGGTGGTTCACTATTGTGTCCAGCTGTTGTCTGAAGAAGCATTTTTTTAAGGTTAATCACTCACTCACTCACTCACTCACGCACGCACTCACTCACTCACTCACTCACTGACATTGTCATTCACTCACCTGTGCATGCGCATACATACACACATACACAAAAACTCACCCACCATCACCCATCCATCACTCTTATACTTCCTCTTCCCTTCCTTCTTTTCTATGCTCAGTCTAAGTCTAGAGAAGTTGGTAACATGTGGGGTTATCCGGTCCTATAATTATTCTTTGTTATTGTTTCTTTCATAGTTGAAATTTAGTTTTTGGAGATTATTGGCACCAGCCTGGGTGCTGGCCAGGAGAAGGGATCCGAAGCCGTGCCTTGGTATTGCCTGGGGGGCAGGGAGAGAGCCGCTGGCGGATTGTTGGGGATTTGCATGGTCCCTAAAATGGACGATTGAAGAATGAAACACAGGGTTTACATTTACAAGTATTTTTGCCATGGATGCATTGGATGCCATGGATGCCATGGAAAACCGGAAGACACCTGTTACACTGTCGTTGCGAGGCTGAGGATGAGGACGACGCCCAGGAGGCCGAGGACGAGGAAGACGAGGCAGGGTTCCACATGCCAAGATGGCCGCGGATGGTTGACATAGTGGCGTAGTGACATAATGTAGAGGAGGCCCCCACTTTTAAGGGGGTGTTTTAGGATAAAGATAACTAGATTGGTCATATTTCCAGTCGGGGCATTTCGGGTTGACAACATTTAAATTTAATGCAGTGACCCAAATCCTTGTTGACTATACAATTGAATATGGGACTACACTGCCCGATTTAGCAGTGGCACAAATTGCCTATTATGGCAATCCCTATTAATCAACCAGTCAAAGGGAATGACAAAGGATTTCGATGGATTTTGAACACTGCTTGATTCCATCCTTCCTGTGCTGTTGTTGCAATACCATCCATTTCACAGGTGATAAGCAGTGGCTGAAACCCACAACCCTCCAGTCAAGCAAGATGGCAACAGAAAATCCAGAACATCAACAGCAAACATATGGAAAATAAAGTGTATATAGATGCATATGGGACAGTTATGGACAATTTTTCTTGCCAGGTTAGGTGACTGGAGAAATTGTCAGTTTGATCCTTCTTCGTGCAGGATTTGGGATTTTGAGCCTCAACACGTTTTAACCTGTTTTAACCATTTTTCAAGGCACAGAAACTTGAAGACTGGGATATGAGCTATGGAAGTTGGATGCGACCCAAAGAAACATGGGCTGCCACCTTCAAAAAATGCGGATAGACAGGTACTTGTATAAAGAGAAACAGAAATGCCGGTTAGATTCGCAGGATTGTTGGTTTGTATCCTATCCTTTCTGTTTCAAAACAATTTTCAAAAAGCCAATGTTTGAATATGTTTGATGGTTTAAATCTATGAGAATCCTGTCTTTGTTATTCTTTGTTATTGTTTCTTTCATAGTTGAAATTTAGTCTTTGGAGATTATTGACACCAGCCTGGGTGCTTGCCAGGAGAAGGGATCCGAAGCCGTGCCTTGGTATTGCCTGGGGGGCAGGGAGAGAGCCGCTGGCGGATTTTTGGGGATTTGCATGGTCCCTAAAATGGACGATTGAAGAATGAAACACAGGGTTTACATTTACAAGTATTTTTGCCATGGATGCATTGGATGCCATGGATGCCATGGATGCCATGGAAAACCGGAAGACACCTGTTACACTGTTGTTGCGAGGATGAGGAAGACGAGGCAGGTTCCACATGCCAAGATGGCCGCGGATGGTTGACATAGTGGCGTAGTGACATAATGTAGAGGAGGCCCCCACTTTTAAGGGGGTGTTTTAGGATAAAGATAACTAGATTGGTCATATTTCCAGTGGGGGCACTTGGAGTATTTCGAGTTGACAACATTGAAAGCAGTGACCAACACCCATTTCGACTAATTAGATTAGGGGACTATACTGCCATCTCCCCATAGAGTGACAAATTATGGGAACCCACATCAACAGGAGTTTGTTGATCTTTGCTCACTTGATCCTTCTTAGCGACCATTCTGTATGGAAAAGACTTTTGGTTCAAGCAGCGAAAAGGGGAGTTTGCAGAATAAACAAGTTTTTCATTCTTAAGATATCTTAAGATAATAGAATATAATGTTGGATCCTGATTAGTGTGTGGGGTCGGTATTGTGTCAAATTTTCCAAAATAATTTAAGATCTGTGGAAATGATTGGGGGGGTCGGTATTGTGTCATTTTTTTTGAGGGGGGTGGTATTTTTCAGTTATATATATATATAAATATATTATTTTTTTAATTGTTTTGAATTATTGCTTATTCTTTTTAATTTATTTCATTTTTTTAATGTACTTATTTTTTATTTAAAAAAAATATTTCATTGTTTTAAATATTTTGTTTTTTTCATGAGCAATATTGTTCCTAAATAATATGTTTGTTGTGGTGGTTCACTATTGTGTCCAGCTGTTGTCTGAAGAAGCATTTTTTTAAGGTTAATCACTCACTCACTCACTCACTCACGCACGCACTCACTCACTCACTCACTCACTGACATTGTCATTCACTCACCTGTGCATGCGCATACATACACACATACACAAAAACTCACCCACCATCACCCATCCATCACTCTTATACTTCCTCTTCCCTTCCTTCTTTTCTATGCTCAGTCTAAGTCTAGAGAAGTTGGTA